AATAATCTGGCACAAAGTAGGATAAATTTGAGTTATTTGTTGGAAAATGGTTGCACAAAGAGATCATAAGTGTAAGTGAAGTAAATCAGACCCACAAATATTGTATAGTTTCTCTTATCTGAGAACTCCCATATAGAAATAAAGCACAAAATAAAGTATAAATAGCAGGAAAAAGCATGACAGATCTTTGGCCTATGGGAAGGGAACTGAAAGAGAGAGAGGTGGAAGGGAGGAACAGGAAAGAATATTATTATAAAGAATTGTGAAGAATTATGTATTGGCAAAACTCCCATTGTACCTGACATGCTTCTTGAACAAATGGAATTTGTCCCAAGATGATTAATCCAAGAATGGTTCAACTTTAGAGAATTTCTGAGTACAGAATATATTAGCAGATCAAAAGAGAAAAACTTCTATTATCTTCTCAAAACATAGAGAAAAAAAATCACTCAACAAAATATAGAGAGATTATTGTACTGTTTACAGTCCTCAGATTTGGCACTGGAACTGCACTATCACTCTTAGAGTCCAGGCTTCCAGACTATAACCAGCCACATTATGAAAGTTGTCAGGATAAGTTTCAGAATCAACTTTGAATTTCTCCCAGTGGTGTCAGTGTAATCTTATATTTCCTTTATTTAATTTTAAAGCTAATTCTATAAAAATAATTATGTCAATCACATAACCCATGTGTTCTGCTACTTCCCAAATGGAATTAATGCATCAATCTTACTCATTTATCTTAAATTACTTTTTTATTTATTATATATATATATATATATATATATATTAGTGTATGTTTCCAGCACATAATGACTAGCATTACTCATTTATCTTAAATTACTTTTTTTATTTATGATTTATATATATATATATTAGTGTATGTTTCCAGCACATAATGACTACGTCAGTTGTGGGGAACTGGTGCATGTACATAACGTGCTTTCATTCTGCTTTTAATCCCCAACTCCTCCCATCTGCTCTCGTTCCTTCTAACTCTTAATCCTCTTCTCATTGACAAAAGCTCTATTTCCATTTTTCTACAGTTATTTTTCCCTTTCACTCCTCTTCTTCCCTCTCATTTTTGTTCCTTTTCCCATTTCGAAAGTATTTCCCTACATCCTATTATCTATCTTTTATTTTGGTCTTTATTATTTTTGATTACTCATATGACAGAGATCATCTGATGTTTAAGCTTACATGTATGATTGATTTCACTTGAGTGAAATCATTCACTTATAAGTTCATTCATTTACTTATAAATGCCTCAAGTTCATAGTTCTTTGTAGAAGTGTTTTCTCTGCAATATGAATGTCAGACAGTGAAGAACAACAGTAATCCAGAGTCAGGAAACCAATAAAAACGATCCCTATAATTGGCCTGAGTTTTCCTTTGAGTTTTAGGACCGCAGAACAGAAAGGGGAACACAGGGAAAACCTTGAGTTCCCAAAGTTCAGAATGTGAAGCTATGAATCTATTGAGCCTGAGTGGTTAGCCTTCGTGGAAGACCACAAGACAGAGAAACATGAAAAACCATTTTAAAGTCTCCAGATAAATTATTAAAATATCTTGATCTAAGCCTCCACTGGGTTTTGGAAAATGGGGAAGGTCATTATTTGGTAAAGTAAGAGGTAAACACCCTTCTACTTAAGTGGTTCATGAAAATTAAGTATTAAAATTATATAATTCAAGCATAGAGGGAAAATCAGATTCTAGATTTTAGAAACTAGAAGAATAAAGAGAAATTTAGAGTTGCAGAATTGAGTCAGAATCATGTCCTTAAGCAAGATGCCTGAATTATTCTTGATGGATGAAGAATAAGATGCAAGTATAGCTAATATTTGTAGATGCTTTTTACTACACTGGAAAGACAATTTCCTCATATTTAGCAATGGACTTCTACTTCAAATAAATGTCCCTAAGTTTGGAAGCCTCCTGTGAGAATTTATAGGAATTACTTAGATTAATAAGATTCTTTAGAAAATTAATTTGATATGAATGTTATGTTAATATTCATGTTGACAAAGAATGTTTATGTACCACAGATGGATATGACTCAGACAGTCTGTTAATGATTGCAGTGAAAAACAGAACTCAACATTTTCTCATTGACTTGGTCTTCTAACCATAGCAATGTATTTTAGATGGCTGTTATTGTAAAATTACTGTATCCTTAGGATGTGTTTCTGAGAACACATTCTGGTTATTAATACAGACTTCTGTCATAAAAAAGTTTCCAACTAATTATTAGTAGGAATTAATTCTGCAGATGGATACTGTCAGCAATTATTCATTAGTTTTTAAAACACAGTAATGAATATAAGTCACTGCAGGTAGCTTATAATGACATGCAGATTTATGGCATTAATTATTAAAACTCAAATTAAGCAGGTCAATTATGAACCATGTTGCTTGTGTTTTTCAAAGGATTCACTGTATTATGTACTTAATTTACTTCATTTAAAATGGGAAACAAATCTCATGAACACTTCTTCAAAATTCAGTTTCCTCTTTAATTTTTGGCTATGAATGGACAGTCATAAGTTCCCTGCAAGAGCCCATAATTTGTAGAAAACAGGAAGCAATGATTTTTTTCACTCAAGTTTTATTAGCATATCAAACATATCAAAAGTATGTACATCAACATGCATATTTAATTAAACCCCAGGATATCCACACTGACAGTGCAATAATTCAGCCCAATGGTGAGGCTCTGAACAAGGCAAGATGAAGGGATCCAGAGCATAAGAATGGAGCATAAGTCATTGATCAGTTCAAAAGAACCAGGAATATCTTATGAGAGCCCATTTTTTGTCACTTTTTATTATGATTAGTTCTTTGTCTCTCTCTCTCTCTCTCTCTCTCTACTTGCATATAAAAGAACCAGAAATATCTTATGAGAGCCCATTTTTTGTCACTTTCTATTATGATTGGTTCTTTCTCTCTCTCTCTCTCTCTCTCTCTACTTGTATATAATTTAATGTCAGAATTCTAACAAGTTGGAGCAAACTTAGAGTTATAGAAGAAATCTTTCCTAAATATATAAAAACTGGTTTAGATTTCCTTTTTTTTTGTGCTTTTAGACCATGTCTTCTTTATTATCATGATATATTTGTGATTGTATATTTGCTTTTATCCCACAAAAAGATCTGTGAGTCTTGGAATGTATGTTCTTAAATAATCTAGGTCTAGTACTTAATAGTTTAGGGTCTGAAATCATTCTCATTGAAGGTACTTGAAAGATATTTGTTTATTGAATAAATAAACTTATAAATAGCACTTGTTTTATCTTGATGAAAAAATGGCAAACAGTATTATGGAAAACAGTATGACGTTTCCTAAAAAAAATAATAGAACTAATATATGATCCAGTTATCCCACTTTTGGATATATATTCAGATATGAAATCAGAATACTGAAGAAATACCTGCAAAGCTTTATTACAAAATTATTCACAATAGCTAAGATATGGAGTGAACCTATGTACTCATCAGTGAAGGAATAAAATGTGGTACATACACACAGTGAAATATCATTCAGCCCTAAGGGAAAAGGAAATCTTGCCCTTTGTAAAAAAGTGAGTGCAGTAGCAGAAGAACATTATATTAAAGGAAGTAAACTAGACACAGATGATAAGGAGAATTTCTCCTACATATGTGGAAATTTAAAAGAAAAGTCAATCTGATTAAAAGATAGAGATTACTAGAGTTTGGGAAGGGTATATAAACAAAGAATGAATTTGAGTACTGCATATTATATGCATGTGTTAAAACATCAAACTGAATTCCTTTAGTATGTAAAATTGACACATATTAATTAAAAGTAAATAAATGAGGGTATATTTAAAGTCTATAAGTAATTAATAATCAGTATTGCCTCAAGAATAACCAAGAAAGTTAATACCAAAGTAAATGCTGATTTTCTTCTGTTATTTCAATGTTCACATATATGATTTTAATTACTGATAGTACTATGCCCAAAGTAGATAGCATAAAAAAATAGTATTACCATCATAGCAGGTAGCAACATTATCCTAAGCCAGAAGTTATTTTTCTTCTATGACCTTTCATGTTCATGCATACATTCAGGATTGCTGTCATAGGAATCAGAAGTAACCAGAGAAATCTTCCTTTGATAAACACAATATCCAAGACTATTAGGATGTTCCCTCAGTTGTTTCAATAGCTCAGTCATTATTTAATCATCTCCTTTAGTTTCATGAATTACAGTCAGGCTGAACATTTATTTGGTCAAACTCAAATATAACACTTGTTATGACTGACTTTTTACAATCCAGAAATATTTGCCAGCACAGTATAAGATCTGAAACATGAACTTCCAAAAACTACTCCTTAATTGGTCAAAATCAACTCAGTAAGAGATGCACTTTTTATTGAATCTACTTTGAATGAAACTATTAATTTAATGATACAATACATATTGAATATTATACAATGACACACATACCACAAAACAACCAGAAAGTAAAATTTTTCCTATGTTAACTTCTATGATTGAATGTTACCAGCATGTGCTTCTGTTTTAGATAAAAAGATAAGTATAATATAAGGTATATATATTTTAAAAAATCAATAGGATCTCAAATTCATAGGGTTTTTTGCTTCCTCAAGCTTTTAAAAACCAAACCAAAGATGGAGCGTGTACTTATCACTTTATTCCTGTCTAGTTTTCCTGCGTCAAATATCCTATATCTCAAACCCTCCTCTTTGCTGTGTTGCACAATGACTGCAACATGAAAATTAACTCTTGCATCATCTTTTACATCGAATAAACTAGTAAAATAAAGCTAGTTTTAAAAAAGAACAAACATCATAGGGTTTATTCCAAAATGTGTTTGAGGGTTTTTGAAATCCATTGTGTGCAACATAATGCATTATAATTATACAAATATAATGTCAGAAGATCTTTGAACAGAATCATATTAAAGACACTATATTTCCTGAACAATCAGGAACAGGTAGCACTGTGGAAAGTGGGACTCAGTGAAAAGTCACACGTCGGTTCCACAGTTTCTTCATAGCTGATTTCATCTCCTCATTTCTTAATGTGTAGATAAGGGGGTTAAAGAGTGGAGTAAAAATAGTGTAAAACACAGACAGGAGTTTGTCCACGGAGAACCTACTGAAAGGCCACAAGTAAATGAAAATGCAAGGCCCGAAGAATAGCGTGACTACCGTGATATGTGCGGAGCAAGTTGAGAGCGCTCTCCTAGCGCCACCTGCTACCTGCTGCTGAACAGTGAGAAGGATAACGGTGTAGGATATCAGCAGGAGGAGAAAACAGATGGTGGAAAGCAGCCCACTGTCTGAAATCATAAGTATGCCCAAGATATAGGTGTCTATGCAAGCAAGTTTAATCACCAGTGGGAGATCACAGAAGAAGCTGTCCACCTCGTTGGGGCCACAGTAAGGTAAATTCACAGTAAAGGCTACTTGACTGATAGAGTGCAGAAACCCAATGACCCACGAAACCAACACCAGATTTATGCAAGTCTGCCGGCTCATCAATGTCATATAACGCAAGGGTTTGCATATGGCCACGTATCTGTCATAGGCCATGGTAACTAGCAACACCATCTCAGCCCCACCAGTAAAGTGCAAGAGAAAGATCTGAACCATACATCCTTCAAAGGAGATGAGCTTTCGATCATTAAGGAAATCTCTAATCATCTTAGGAGTGGCAAATGAGGCCAGCCACATGTCCAAGAAAGACAGGTTCCCCAGCAGGAAGTACATGGGACAGGAATACAAGTTGGGGGCAGAAATTACAGTGAGAACAATGAAGATGTTACCAAGCATAATGGCCACATATATACTAGAGAAAAATACAAAGAAAAAGTTTTGTAGATATTGTGAAGAACAGAGTCCATGCAATACAAATTCTGACACCAAAGAATGATTCTGTGGATCCATTGTCTTGGGTTTCAGATTCTGTTGTGTATCTATATAAAGAAAAGAAATCCCTGTCATTTGTGTCAGGGTGGAGGAATCTGAAAGTCAGTAAGTTAAGTGAGATAAGTAGACACAGGAAAAGAAATATTTCATGATTTTCCTAATCTGTGGGAATGAAAATTGTTACATTTATAAAAACAAAGTAAAAAGGTAGTTACCAGGGCTTTGAGGTAGGCAAATTAGGGTAAGGATGGTCAACAGGAACAAAGTTTCTACTAAGCAAGAAGAATAAATTCAAGAAATCTATTCTACATCACAGTGACTGTAACTAATAGTAATATTTTGTGCACTTGAAAATTGGTAAAAGAGATTTTAAGAGTTCTCACTATAAAAATTGGTAAGTATATATAATAATGCATATGGTAAATATCACCTTTTATCAATTCCATAATGTATACATATATAAAAACAACATCTGGTACACCACAAACACCTACAATTTTGTTAATTACAAAACAGAAAAGGAAGAAGGAAGGAAGAAAGAGGAAAGAGACATTAAACTGTAAATACTTGTCAACTGCCAGGCACATGAAAATAATCCACTAGGTGTTACATCAGTATAATTTCTAATATGTAATAGATAATCTAAAATACAGTATATAAGATTATAAACAAGTTGATACCAAAATGTGTGTTTGTCCCAGTCCATAATTATTTTGTTAGTGTGAGTTGGACATTCTGGAATAATTCAGCATAAGTGTGAGATATAGAAACACTTTTTTCTCCCCTTTTGACCTTTGTTCATGGGAAAACATGGAAGCAATCATTACAAAGTGTGAGCCAAAACTCTTTAGGAGGATTGAGAATATTCATATTTTCTAAATGATATTATACTTTACTCTCTGGTTTACCCATTGGTTACTCATTGTTGTCCAATGCATAACTGTTTTTAAGCATCAGAACTAAAATTGAATTTAAGGCATAGTTTAAAAAATAATATCATAATGTAAAATACAGTATCATCTGTCTCTGCTGCTTTTTATTTTGCATACAAACAAAATATTGTCAAGTGAGTGTTTTTGTGGGTGAGTGTACTTAGGTATCTAAAGAACAGTCAGCATATTTCTCTCTTTCAGAAGAAAGAAGTAGCTAATGACAAATTTAGTGGAAAAAGATTCCTTTAAGCTAAGAAAGAAATGTTTAGAACGTAGAAGTTTACTGTTAGCAATGTATAAATGTAGGACAGCTCCTAAGGTTTGAACTTGTTATGTACATTGTTTACTAATTTTATGGAAATGTCCCTAGGGTGCTATCTAGGAGTTACAAAATAGTATGTAACATATGCTCAAGAAATGCCTTTGAAGAAATGTAGACCTAAATGATAGCACAGTTACATAAAGATTTTTCTTTACTTTCTTTTTAAAAATTAATATGTAATAAAGTTTGAATTTAAAATGATAAAACACTCTTTAGAATAAAAAAATAAAAATAAATGATATAACATTCCATTAAGGAGGAGAGCCTATATTTGCAGACTCTCTCATTACCCTTGCTCTTCATCAACATGAGAAAGATATAATTACCAAATTTATGAATAAAACAAATAGAACAAGGTTAACTTTAAGAATATTTCAAAAAGTTTAAAGTATTGGCTGTTATCAAATTCCAGAGAGGGAATGTGTAGGTATATTATATATCTATTAATAGGTTTCTTTATGATTTAAAAACAAGAAAAACTTTTGGTTCCTTGAAAAAAGAAAATTAATTATTGTGTACTTGGTCATAATACATCCAGTTAAAGCCAACAGAGGAAGATCTGGTTCTGGAAACTGATGTTTCACTATGAATTAAAGTTCAGTTCAAAGTATTTGTTCCTAAAGAACAATGAGATTGGGATTTTCCCCCTGTTAAGACTGATCATCTTTCCTTTGATGGCTTCATGCCTCTTTATTTAGTTACATTTACCTACCATAAAATTCACTTATTTTAAGCATAAGAGCGAACAATTTCCAGTAATTTTATCAAGCTGTGTAACTATCTCCTTAATGATTGATTTGGAATCTCGACAACTTCAGTTCTTCCTGTTCAGGCTCATTTACCAGCCCACACACTCAGAGCCTATCTGTACAATGCAATTTTCCACTTCACTACTTCACTGTACAAATGAATAAACACAATCAATAAATCAATGAACCTAGGAGTTACATAATTTATTGGAGTTATATAATTTATTGGAGTTATACAATTTCCAAGCCCACAAATCTTTTTGTCCTTGTCATTTTCTTTAATTGATTTGTGATTAAAATTCATTTCTCTAATTCATTTACAGATTTTTTATTTGTAAACTTACTAACTCTGAGAGGATTTTAGGATTACTTCCACTGAAAGAGCTGCGTTCAGGACATTTCAACAAGCACCTCACCATGAAATATCTGCAGAAGTTTTTGAGGGGTTTTAATATATATGAGTGACTGATAAATTCAGCATGGTATTAGAAATAATTAACACTTTGAGTTTCCAGATGAAGTAGAATAGGATGTGTAGATCTTATTCATTTATCAATTCTTTCACTGAGTAAGATGTTGTATAAACCCTTGCTAAAGAAAATCTTCAAGAGTAATTTTACAAAAAATACAGAACTTTCATATGAACTTTGCATGCTGACTCTTTAAAAATTGGAAAATATAACATAAAAAATAGTTTCATAAGGTTTGTACAGGGCATAAAGTAACATACCAATGTGAAATATTTTAATAAATTGAACTTGATATGAATTGAACTTGATAGAATTGAAAATCTAAAGGAATTGTTGGCAATTATATCCATTTTAAACTTTTTAAAGAATCATGAGAACTGAAAATTCCTTTTGTTCGTCTTGAACTTTCATAAATACATTACATTTAAAAATCTTTATTGCAATGTCTTTTTTTGTTAATAGATGCTATTACTTTATAGATTGGATTTTAAATCTGAAGATAAAAGCCTTGGCAGATACAGCAGACATAATCACAAATGGAGAACTCCTAACATGCTTGGTTATATCTGCATTACTCTGCTATCCATCCTAGCATATCTATCATATGCAGTAGGGCTATACTTCTACTAGTATTCCCTTCCTTCCTTGTGACTAGGAAAAGTTTCACATGTAAATCTAAAATATAATTGAATTTAATCTAGGGTTTTATAAATATTAAATGGGAAGTGAAATAATCAAATGGAAAATTCAACAAATAAATGTAGAGGAACTCTTAGTTGCTGATTAGTCAAAGATGTTCTCAGTGTAGATATTGGTAGAGGCTGGACCACTCTGCACGTACACTAAAATCAGTGAGTGCACACTCAGAATGAGTGAACCTTGTGGTATGTTATAATATAATAATTAAAATTTGAAATTGGTGTTAAACAAGTATTAAAAGAAATGTAAAAAAAATAGACTGTAATTGAATTCTAGTTTCCCAGAACTTGTTATTATTACAATGGCCTTTTAAAACTTGTTAAAATTTGGGGTTGGGGATTTAGCTCAGCGGCAAAAGCGCCTGCCTGGCAAGCGCAAGTTCATGAGTTCGGTTCCCGGTACCGGAGAAAAACCAAAAAAAAAAAAAAAAAAAAACAAAACTTGTTAAAAATTAATGTTAAATTTATAATCAGGAAGATGAGGTTAATTTTATATATAAATGAATACAAATATAATTAAAACTAACTCCAACAACACAAACACATAAGAAACAATTTTAAAATTTAATTTTAACTGAAAATTATGATTATGTACTCAAATGATATAATTAAGATACTAGAACGAACTCGTCTCTGCCTGAGTTATGTCTGAAGACACATGTTCATGTATATGTCGAACATTCTGAACCAACCTGAAGCTGTGGCAGTCAGTCTTCACACTGTGGGTCACAAAGCTGCATTTCACATCTACTACAATTGAAAGAAACTTTTGCAAGCACATATCTTTTATGCCAGGGATAAGCTAATCAACTTTGTCCTGCCTGTTAAAAATAATTTGGGAAAAATGTCATTTTAAGAAGCTAAAATGCTGCAAACTTGGTCTTTCTTTGGAGTTAAACAATACCTATATATATATATATGTGTATTCACTGCCACCAATGAAGTATCCCTTAATGATAGGCTATTCATGACCAATTGTTATAATGGAGGCTGGGGAATAAACCATCATAGGGTGGAAATTGGTGGCAATAAATCATATTCATTTCCACAGGGTATAAAGGAAGATAATTTTAAAGATTTGCCACTAAATATAAACAGTTGCAAGTATTTCAATAATTCAAGCAGAATAACACATATTAGTATTTAGTAAATAAGTTAATACTGTATAAATGTTTTCTGTCAAATAATCATACTAACTAGTTGCATTGTAAAGTTAATAGAAACATTTACTATCTCTGCCCATTACTTTAACTTTGATTATGCGTACCACTTTGGAAAATACTTATTTCTACTAGGAACGTCAGATTTTTATGTGCCAGAGTATCTGTACTGTCTAGAATTATGCAGTAAGGTGTAATAAAATTTCCTGGTGCTCGTGTTATTTTTACAGCCCTTATAATTTGTAGCCTACTTACTCATCAAAATCATTCAAAGTTAATTAATGCTTCTTATGCTAATGATTCTTTGTTGATGACAAATATTCCAGAACATTCTGAGGACTAGTAATCATATTTACAATCATTCGCATAACATTTACTTCTGTACTAGATGTATAAACACATCCAAATATATAAAGGTTGTTATCAAAGACAGCATCTAACTGTCATAAAAAGTATTAAGCTCTACATTAGCATTAAATATTTGTGATTCATTTAAAATAAGTTACAAAATTTGTTATTACAGAAGTGGACTATCAGCCTAAGTGAACTTTGTTTCTGAAATGTGCTTATTACATGGGCACAAACACATATAACATAAAAACTACGCAAAAATTTTAACAACCCACTGATTTCATCAAAATGTGATTGTTAATTTTATAGGTTCAATTTAAAAGTTGTTTTTGGATAACA